TTTGGCTTCATTGGTTGAGGAAGTTTTATTCCTGGTTGCATAGAGAGCATGATGAAGTTTTTGTGATCCAAAACCTATTTATTGCCAACCACTGAAGAAATCTCCCTCTGGCCATCTACATTTTTGCAGATTAATAGAGAAAACCACGTCAGTTTGATTTATCAGGATGAGATTAATTTGGTACCCACCTCGTCCTTGTCAGTTACACTGAATGTGTAGATAGGACTACCCCTTTGCAGGTTTTCTAACACAAATACATCGTAAGCTGCCTGATTAAACTCTGGTGGGTTATCGTTGACATCTAGTACGTGCACAACAACAAGTGTGGTAGTGCTGAGACTTGGCTGCCCTGCATCTGATGCCTCCACTTCCACTTCAAATTGCTTTATGGTTTCATAGTCCAGCTGCTGGCTCAGGGTTAACTGGCCTGTGCTCGAGCTGACAACAAACATTGGTGATGAGGTTGGAGGTTGCTGGCTAACAATGCTGTACTTGACAAGAGCATTGGCCCCAGCATCCAAATCAGAAGCAGATACTGTTAGCAATGCCTTTCCAAGCACTTCATCTTCAGGGACACTCGTTTCATATCTACTTGATGAGAAGACTGGAGGGTTGTCATTCACATCATCAACGACGACTGTCAAATTGAGAGCTGTAGATAGCGGGGGTTGGCCTTGGTCACTGGCGATCACTGTTAAGTTATAGAAGTCTTGTTTTTCTCTGTCCAGTTCCTTTTCCAGCACAATTAATCCTGAAGTATCAATATCCATTTTTCCTTCTCCACCTTTCAGGGTATAAACCACTAATCCATTAAAGCCCTCATCCACATCCGTAGCTGACACACTGGTAATATTGTTTCCAGGTGCAGCATTCTCCGGAATGGAAATGGTAGTGCTGTTTATACCAAACACAGGACTGTTATCATTGACATCTGTAACTCTGACAAACACTGTAGCATAGTCAATAGTGTTTCCATCTGACAGGGAAATATTTAGTATGTAATTATTCTGGGATTCATAGTCCAGCTTGGTTTTTGTCCAAATGATTCCATTGGCATCAATGTCAAACGTCGCAGATTCCGTTAGTACTTGAAAGCTAACCGGTGTATGGGGATTTACAGACTCATACTCCACCTGTGTAAGATAAAGAATATTATCCATAAATTTATTAAACACAATAAGCCACTGTCTAAAAAAGAATGATTTGAATTATGTCCGAACTAATTTTACTGATTTTATTCATTAAAAGAAATAAAAATCAAACCACAATACACATAAAATACAGTGCTTTCCATCATCACTGAAACATCACTAAGAAGGAAATGTGAATACATATAATATGTTATAAAAACAATAGACTGTAGTTTAGCCTTTGGTTCTGCCTTTATATGAAAAAAAATGAAAAAATGATTAACATGGGAAGTCAATAAATCAAAACACTGAAACACAAGAAATTCTCACTGCTTTGGTATCAGATCTCCCATCTGCCTTCAGAACAGTGTCTAAGAAGGCGCTATCCCAGTGCATTCTGGTGGCCTGCTTGTCTGAGCATCTTTTGGTCAAAATGAGGAGCAAGGTCTAGAGCCATCTGTGAAAATACCCTTTTGACAGTTCTCTGATGGGAAGTCCCCATTTCTTAGCTCTATCGTGTCATGTTTTAGAGTTATTATCAACAGATGAGTGAATATTGCCTGTTCTAGCCTGTGGCTACAGGCTTTGGAGAATGTCCAAAGTCAACAAGAGAGCTAAGCTCGGAAGTTTACTTTCTAAGGCAGTCATGGGGTTTATTTGTTTTGTGGGGAAGAGAAGGGGAGGTGGTATTGGGGTTTTCTTTGTTGTTTTTTATTTGGTTTTAGCTTTGGTTTTTTGGTTGGTTGGTTGGGGTTTATGTTAAATGGTAGCACGTGCTGTTTAAAGGTTTGCAATGAAAGAACAGGCTTTGTTGTTAAAGAGCCTTTGTGAGCGACAGGCTTCATCAGAGGGATGTACACAGTATGTCATGTATATGGAGATTGACATGCAATGCAGGAAAGAAAACATAACATCTAATTATCCATGACCTAGAGGGATATAGACATTTAGAGCACATATAAGACAGGATTTTCTTATTGCTGTCATGTCCTGTGCAAGTGATAGAATAAAGCTGTTCTTACTCTTGCTACTTCGACAGGACTGGCTAGCTCTTCTTCCACAGACACGTTGTAAGCCTTCTGAATAAACTGAGGTCTGGAATCTCCAACTGCAAAGATTTGTACTGGCACTGATGAACTTCTTGGAATCATCCCACCTGCAAGCAAAAGAAAAACTGCCTTAAAAGAACACACTTTGCCACTGGTACTGATTTGGGGTTTTTTTAATCCCTACTGCTACTATTATGGTAACACTGAGAGGTCCCAGCCAAGATCAGTTTCGTCTACTGAGTGTTACAATATAAGAACCTGAATACATACAACATTAGCATAGAATTGTCCCTGGCAGTGTTCAAGGCCAGGTTGGACAGAGCCTTGGGTGACATGGTTTAGTGTGAGGTTTCCCTGCCCATGTCAGGGGGGTTGGAACTGGATGATCTTAAGGTCCTTTCCAACCCTAACTATTCCATGATTCTATGATTATACATATGACTTTTATATATATTATTGTGTTATTTATTTATTATCTTCAACAAACAAAGCAGATAAAAATGCATGGTATTTTTAAACTTAAGTCTGGCAACCTCTTTTGACAGCATCCCTTCACTAAAAAGCCAATCCAAACCAAAACCAAACCCCATTAGAAAACCAAAACAGACCACCAAGAATAGCTGTGTTGACCTGTACTAAACCCCAGTCTTACCATCAATAGCTGTTATCCACAAGACAAAGTTCTTAAGCTGGTTGACTCCTAATGGGATTACTGTTTTTAAAGTGATTTGTCCTGTGGATGTATCCAATTCAAAGTATCCCTCTTCATTGCCACCAGCTAAGATAAAGCTTATCTCTCCATTTATACCCTCATCTGGATCATCAGCAGCAACCTGGAGGAAAAAATAGTTTTGCTTTAGTGTAGAGATTATATCAGGAGCCATTAAATCAGTAGATCTACATCAGTAGGCATGAGTTTTGACAGTGACTCCCTATATATCTCACTTCCAGAAGAGATTTTTATCTTGGTTTCTTTTTTCATTTGGTAAACTGGTTGATTTATTATCATGCCATGTATATCATATCTAAAAATATCCACAACACTTCAGCATTCAGCAGTCTTTCAAAAGTTGTTACAGTTATTATTTCAATTTCTAGACATTAAGAACATTCAGTTTTCATTAAACACTTTATAACAAGAAGAATCTTATGTTCTGTCTTCTGTTTGTAGAATTCAGGATGGTGCACAGTATCGAAGATCAAGAATAAAATCCTTTAGCATTTGTTCCAGACCGGGGGCATGATTAGAGCATCCAGGACACTGTAATTATGGAATATTTACATGTATAAGATTTTAAATGCAAGGTGGATTGTTTCTGAACTCTGAGGAGTTAGTTTAGAAAAGATTTGCTCATTCAGTAGGGCCAATACACAAGATTAGGCAAGGATTCTTGCGCACATTCAACCCATAACAATGACACTTTCACTTAGCACTTCTAGTACCTGAAGGATGGACATTCCTGCAGTCATGTTGTTGAAAATATCTTGTTTATATGGTGTACCACTAAAGGTTGGGCTGTTGTCATTTTCATCTAGCAACAGTATGTTGATTGCAGAGTGTCCCTCACCGTAAGGTGACAAATGATCTCGAGCGGTGACCTTTAAAAAGATGTAGTAAAATCATTGCTTTGTTCTAATGCATGCTCTGTAAGTAGTAAGAAGGATGAACAACATTTGCAAGCTGAGTAAACTGTATCACTAGTGATAATTCCCTCCAAACAGCCCCAGTGTGAAAGTCTGGATTTGATTCTTCAGAGAAGCTGCTGATCTGTATCAGAGTCAGCTTCTTGCCAGGACAGATTAGATAGCACATGTTTGCCTCAGGTTGCTTTGGAAAGAAGTAGGCTTATTTCTAATACCTGGAGGTGAATGGATGATATTCTCTCCCTATCCAACAGTGTAGAGTTCTTCACAGTTAGGATGCCATCTTGGCTTAACCGGAAGGGACTATCAGCTGGAGTGAGAATGAGCGTTCCCTGGAAGCCTCCCTGCAAAGAGTAACGATATATGTTATTAAATAGGACAATCATGGACCTAATCCCTTAGGGTGCTTTCTTTTTATTTTCTGGAAAATTAAATGGAGAGCATTTAATTTTCTGGTTTAACTGAGGTTACAGTTCCCAAAAGAAGGAAGAGGAGCAAACAACATGGAAGAAACAGATCATGCAGGTTGAGGGTGCCCATTTTGCACTTTTGCACTTTCCTATTTGGGACCTTATGCCAACCAGAGGAGTTTCAGAGACAGCCAATTTATTCTCTAGTACTCAGCCCCTTAAAGAAGTAAAATTAAGGTTGTTTTGAAATAAGGTTTTAAGCATATTTAGGTACTTAGGCGAAAAATAATCTATAGCACTATTCACTACACCTGTAGAACGCAAACACGTTTTGCATTGTATTTCAGAAGTGCTGTATTTGTAGCAACCATAACAATGTTTTACCTCATCTTTGTCAGTAGCTGTTACTTGAAGAGCTTCCATCCCATTTGGGAAATTTTCTGGAATTGAGATGTTGTAACTTGGTTGTGACAGCACTGGATAATTGTCATTCACATCATCAATAGTGACCAGAACTACTGCATCAGCTGTTTTGAAGGTATTGTCTTGCTGGCTTGCCTAGAAAACAAAGAGTTTGTAGCTGTAATTCCATGCCCTGATAACAGTGAGCCATTCCAGCCTAGCACAAGGATATGACATGACTGCATATATCCAGTGAATGAAGTTTTCCTTTGTTTGCATTTTAAATGGCAGGACAGAGTCTTGATATCAACTGCCCTTTAGCATTACTATGAGAAGTACTATTAACTGCAACCATGATTTACATATTATTTTATTAAATCAAGATTCAGTATTAACACACTGAACTCTAAAACCGTCACTACCTGAATGCCCACAAGGAGATATGGACATTCTTCTCTGTCAAGTGCAATCTTTACTTCCAACACGCCTGTGTCTGCATCAATTATAAAGTGGTTGCTATAGGCCGGGGGTTCCACTGCAAAGCAACAAATTGCAATAGGTTAATGAGAATGAACCAGAACAGGAGGTAAGATCTGTCCTTTTTATGACTGTTACCTTCTCAGCCACAGCAAAAACGAACAGACATTCCAGATAAAAGGCTTGTTTTCAAACACTGTGTCCTCAAAACAATTCTTAAATAAATTCACTCACACTTCAAGGGTCTCAAATTCAGCATCTCAGGAGCTTTTAGCAGTTCTGTCAGCAGGAGAAAAAGCTCCTGACGGAATTCTCTCTTTAGGTGGTTCTGAATGGAAATCCTTTGATGAGATGGAAGCCTAAACTGACTTACACTTTTATTGAGGAATTGTTTATTAGAGAGAGGTTAAGAACATCTAGACATTTTTAAAAAGTGGTTGGACCCTCCATATTGACTGAAATTAAGTCAGTTTAGCTCATGGAGAAGCAATGTAGTGAAGAGGCATGCAGTTAAGGCATCTGACAGTACACTGCACTTCCTTATCATTCCCTTCAAATAACTGTGTGAATGCCTCCAAGAAAATAAAGGCTCTTACCTCGTTTGATGCTGTAAAGTACTTTTTCATTTATACCTGTGTCTCCATCTTTAGCCAGTATCTTTTCTGGGTGAATAGCCAGAGGGCCCACCTAGAAAACATATATGAACTTGATTAACTTGAACAAAAATTACACAGAAACAGAAAATCAATAATTAATTAAGTCACAATTTTGATTGTAGAAACAAGAAACACATATTTAATCACTGGGATCCAGAAAAAAATATCTCTGTCAGACATGCTTTACAGAGGAAAATGATGACCAAAATAGCCTGATGGATACACTGTGTTTGAGAAAACACCAGACTATGAGGCAGTAGTCACTGATGGAATTCATGTTAGTAACATGGAATATTTCCATTCCCACCCTAATGCAAATAACAACTTATTTGGAAGATAAAAACGTTTTAGAAGATCTAAAAAGATTCCTTTCAGACAATTAAAGATGAGCTTCTAACAAAAGGGACACCAAACGAATAACACCAAAAGCATGTGGTTTAAAATACGTTAACATTAAGATAATGATAAACAAATGAGGATAATACAAAAGATAATTATATTTAGTGCATTACTCTAGCAATATTGTAATGTGATTACTGTTTTTGTCAATGCATGTAGAAGCTTGAATTAAACAAATACATTCCACTGAGAAATTTCCACCCTATTTAGGAAATAATTACAATATAATAAAAACCACAGTTAACTTCTCAGATTCTTGTTTTGCCTACCTGATTGTAATGAAATACATAGAAAATACATTGTTTAAAACCAAAACCAGGCAGCCAGCTCCAGGACTGATGGGGAGTCAGCTGCCCTTCCAAGTTTACAGTAAAAGCCTTGTCACAACACTTGTTTAGTTTTGTGGGGTTTTTTTCCCCTCTTTTTTCCTCCAGACAGAAAAGAACTCATTTCTGTAGCAGAAAGTTTTATGTTTTATATAATATGTGGCCTATTAACCTGGTTCTTGGAAGTGTACAGCTGATAACCTTACAATTCCCCAGCTGGCACAAAACGAAGCAGCCCTCCACCTTATGCTGCGCAGTGATGAGGACTCCTCAAAAGAAAAGCACTGTAGAGAGCAATAATCTATTTACATTTGCAGCACTCAGTGAAAAGCTTTTACCTGGTTTTCACTGATGTTTCCATTGTACACTGATTGACCGAAATAGGGGTTCAATGTATCGTAATCTTGGACGTCAATTACTAGCGATGCAGTATCGCTGTTGTTTCCCATTAATTCCTGCATCCCAAGAGAAGGAAGAAAATAAGAAATATTGTAATGAAAGAGCCATTTCTCAGCAGAAAGTACAGCAGAATATAATAATATTACATGTACTATACATAACGTATGTGCTTTGTAGCATCTAAGCATTTTTAACCTGAGACCTCTCACCTCTCACCATGGTAGATTTTTCCATTTCTAGAAATCCATTTCTAGGAATAACACTATTAAAAGGCAATTGTTCTTTTTTTTTTATTTTATATCAGGTAGGTGTTACACACTAGAACATAGAATGTAGTAACAGTGTATTTGCTGCAGCTGCACTGCTAGATATATCACTATAGATATGACAAAATTACTTCTTTTTAATTCTAAAAGGAACTGAAGACAAATATAGATTCAAATCTCAAAAAAGACACTCAAAGAGACTGCAGGTGGTAAGTTGTGCAAAAATAGGGTAGATCTGGCAGAATTAATCGATAAGTATATGTTAGAATAGTGAAGAATAAACACATACAAGAAGCATACCCAAAGAAATACACACAGAACGAAACTTGGGCTGGTATTTGAATGGGAGACTGAAACAGTGGCTCAAATATTAAGGATGTGTTACGTTGTCTGCAGCATAAACCAAGATGCAGACATAACTTTTAGCTTGGAACTCCCCAGGTTGTAAATCTATAGAAACTGGGATGTTATAACAAAGGAAAAATCACTGTAGAACTATTGTGGTACTCCTTCATTTAACTGATATCATACCTTTGCTTGGACTGTTAGATTGAAAAGGTTGACCTTGTTGTAATCCAGTGTTTTTTTCAGCATGACATTTCCATCTCCTTCCCTTATATGAAAGTAATCAGAGTTTGGACCCTATTAAATAAATAAATCACATAATTTACATGATTAACAATGAATTACATTTCGTTTTCTCTTACTACCTTTATTATTGGACTATTCTTCATGAAGGACCAGGAATCTCTCAACCACCCCCACTGAAAATGAAAATGCTGATCCTCTTCAACACGTTCTATTGCCTCTCTCATCAATGCCATTAGACTTTCTATCTGATTTGTCTTGTCCTATGGCTGATAACTAAAAGCAGATCAGATGAATGGCATTCAGCTTCCTTTCACCACCATCAAAAGAGCAGAGAAAGCAGGATCAGATGTGAAGATCTCCACTGCAGATATCTAGTGTTAGCTGAAATAATCTTACTTCTGGTGTCTTACATATACACCTCATCAGGTCTGGAGATCAACTGCAAATCAAATACAAACTTTAAGAAGAGGGGGATCTGTTTCACTCCTGCTCCTAAACAGGACCAGTGAGTTCCTTAGCTGTAGCTGAACAGTGCCACAAAGCATTTCACACATGCTAAGAAACAAGACACAGGGCTCACTGCATGCTAGGCTGATTCTGTGGTATAAGTTCTAATTTTAAATGGTCTTTCTGATGCTAGATTTTTGCAGATTTGTAATCTGTAACACTTGGATCACATCCCAGGCTGTATCCTGTATGTAATATAGACTGGTGCTCACAGTCTCTGACAAACAGAAGGCACTCACCCAAAGACTGTAAGTGATGGTGCTGAACGTAGGAGAAAAATCTTTATCCACAGCTTCCACTTTTATAATTGAGACATTTATTGCAGTTACCTAGAGGAAATAAAGACCATCAAATGCTTAGTCACAAGCCCCTTTTGACTGTGCCACCTCCTTAACATATGCAATTTACTTCCCATTTCCGTTTTAGGTTAGATAACTGAATGTTTCTTATTCACCCCATGACTTCAGCTGTACATCCAACCCGGCCATTATTTTCCACACTCACAGCAATGTGTATACAAGTCCCACAAAAGTGCATGTCATGATCTAATATCAGTGTGATCATGTTAGAACCTCGTACGTTTTGACCCCAAAAAGTAACTTGAAAATGTCACAAGAAAAAACATTAGCATTTGCCATAACCCACCTCTGATACTGAAGCACTGTAATGAGATTGGAGAAATTCTGGCGAATTGTCATTAACATCTTCCAAGATTAAGTTTCTGTTGTTCTCTACCTCATTATTCTTCATAATGGAAGCAAAAGATACATTAGAAATGACAGCAGTGAGGCAGCAGCATGCTGCTAACATTTCATTTCATCATATAAAATGAGATCTTCAAAGAGACACCCCTTCAGTTCTAAGAATTGCAGTGGGAAAGTCAGACTACCATGTGTAACAATGGAGTAAAAGTTTGTGAAAGTATTTTTAAATGAAGTTTTTAAGGTTTACCTTCGGTTTTCTGTGAACAAAACCATTCAAATCAGCACATTTAAACAAATACAGCTTCTAAAAGGTACTCTTAACTCCCTGCATCATATCTTTAAATGAAGTAGTAACTCAGAAAACAATAATTCGCATTACATTTAGACAAAAACATAGTTTATACAACATGTCTTTTACTTACCGTTCCAATCCGTTGGCAAACGATGGTATAAAAGAGTTGGACACTCTAAAAATCAACAAAAAAAGCAAATAAATAATACAATCTATGACCTCTTAAATGATTGTCAAGGAATGTTCAGGTCAAAATTATACAAAACAACTTCTGGTAGTTGAATCCTCGGGTGTGTTGTCACAAAACACACTGCTTATAATGCAGAATCATAGAATAGTTAGGGTTGGAAAGGACCTTAAGATCATCAGGTTCCAGCCCCCCTGCCATGGGCAGGGACAGCTCACACTAAACAATGTCACCCAAGGCTCTGTCCAACCTGGTCTTGAATATACAGCAAAGTCATTACAGATTATTAATTGTAAAGTTTATTTGGCTACCATTCATCTAGTGCTGCTATCCATCCACCCACCCAGATCCCACCATCCCTATACCTGACTGTTGTCCCTGATGGATAATTGCCAGAGAATGCGAGACTATGTATAAGCAGCATAAAAAGTGGTTTAACCCTTGTAGAAAATGTCCAAATGAGAATGTAAAAATTGTAAGTATGTTTTTATCAGTTGGAAGTCTTGATTGTAACAGTGGTATTTAAAACAGGTATGGGTCAATTCTGTCAGGTACGGTGCTACTCTGATATAGTACTTGTATAACAAACAGCCTCCGCTTACTCTGCAGAATGACACCATTTTCACATTCAAAGGCAACTTTACCCAGGAAAACACTAACATTGCTTTATTCTTGGTAGCCCTATAGAGCAAGAATGGCCCAGGAAGAAAGACCTCTCCTTTTGTGCATCAACCAGCAGAAGACAATGGTTCTATTCAGGTGTGAAGTTAAGCACTTGCATAAATATTCATCTGATTAAAGATTGCCTTCTACCACATTACAGCTGATCAATCTCGCTTGGTGAAATAATTCATGTTACTCAAAGATGAGTTTTAAGGGAAGTGACACCTATCATAACTGTGGATTTACAACTTTCATTAAAGTGGCAATACATGATTAGGGAAGAACCTGTCTGACTGTCAGGAGTCAGCTACATTTACAGGTATAGGAAACTGAAGACACTTAACAGACATTACTGAGAGGTAGATACTGAAGCCTGTGCTGCTCTTTGTGCTGAGAGCATGAGCAATTACAATTGATGGCTTAGTGCCACCTTTTTTCCACCTGACAAGAGAACCTTTATATCCAGGTTTTACACACAGTGAAAATAATACCTCAATAGTATCAACATCCAGTGGTTTACGAGTCCTCACTGTTGCATTATTAGATCCAGACTCATACACCAGCTCCACATACGATAAGTGTTCAGGGAACAGATACTCTCCTAATTTCAAATCTACATTGGGTGGGATATTTGTAATCCATTCTATAACACCTGTAAGAGAAAGCATAACAAATTATATTGCTTTATAGAAAAGAAATCCATAGGTTCATTTCATGTGTGTTGACAACTGCACAGCTGGTTACCTTTGGTTACATTCCATATTATTTTGGCATTTTCAGCTAAAATATCAGCTCTCTTAAAGTCCCCTTATGTACTCTGCAGAAGTGTATTGATACGCTTTTAAAACTACACAAACCCACTTTTCCCGATGTATTCCCACTCTGCAACAGTGTCTCCAGAATTAAAAACCTTGGCAAAAATTAAACCAAATTTTCCACCATTTTCTGCAAATAGCTTTTGGCCTCAAAACTTTTTGTTTTCACATTTAGTGTGAAAGTGTAATCAAAATGTAATGAAAGTCAAGGAATGGAATCAAAATGAGCAACAGGCTGGTCAGGGCTATATGGGATCAGTGTCAGTATCATCCAAACACAAGGGCATTTCCTAACTCTTAATTGAACCTATCAAGCATATAGAATTCAGTGTGAATCTGGATTCAAGCATGTTGTAGTTTAAGTGTTGATTTTGGTCCAGAATGGTGAGTGTATGGTCCTTCCTTTAATCTGTTCCTAGATGTACAGAACAGTGCAACATGAACAATGCAGCCTAAGAATCAATTTTCATGTAGTTTCCTACAACCATGCATTTAGGAACTATTGTCTCCAATACATGGAAACTTGTTATTTGTAATTACCATGATTCATATTGGACTCGCTATCATTTCAGTAGTGAATGTACTACTTGTTTGGTTAAACACCAAATCTGTGTTTGAACATGCATTTGAAATGGATCCTTTTAAGCCATCCAGTGTGGTGCTATGGGCAATTTCATGAAAGTTACCTTACTCATATTATCAATGTATTTATGTTGATGAAACAATACTTATCTTCTCATGGAACATCTGGCTTGCAAACCTGTAATCCTCTCTCCCCTCCAAAATCATTCCTGAACATCCCCAAGATTTTCCACAAGCCTCAGGAAATTTGCTATCTGTGTTTATTTCTTACTCTGTTGGGTTTGTACTCCATCACTATTAATTTAGGTTAGTAAACCCTTTCTGTGACAGTCCCATCTCTGATGTCCATGTATAGACTTGTGGTCTTGGTCTCCAAGTGTGTGAAGGAAGTGAACCATGTCTTCCAGCAGGAGGGAGTGTCTGGAATGTCGTCAGCTACCAGCCCAAAGATACTGGTCTATAATTACGTGTAAGGAGAAAGTCCAGGCAAATGGCAGTGAGCACAGAACGACCGGTCTGAGTCTGTTCCTGAAGGGAATGTTTTGGCCATAACATTCAACGCTTTGCCTTGTGTGATCATTGTGTATACACATATAGAGAGGCAAGTCGAATCCTGGTTGCAGGGTTGTCTCTTAACAGACAGTGTAGCCACAGACAGCCTGACCCTTTAGCTAACAATAGTAACTTCTCTGGTTAGTGCTGGGAGGAAAAGGAGGATGCAGTTATCCTCTGGACTGCATTTGCAATGTAAATAACAAAACCGCTTTGGCACTGAGCTCTCCAGCAGTCACTGGACTTCCCCCAGTGTGGTTTTTGGTCTCCAAGGCACAATCACACTTTGCCAGCTAGGCTAAGGAAGCCTACAAAATGTGGGGATAAATTAATGTTAATCCTGTCAGGCTGCACAAATTAAATAATCATTAGAATAATACAGAGCATGCTACGTTAACAAAGTAACTCAGGACAGAAACTGCAAATACATTGGCTGGCTAGCACTGATCCTGTAATTCCCTGCACTGCAAGCCTGCTTGTTCCTCTGCACCCCATCTGCTCCAGCAAAACAAACAGTTGGCATTCAGAGTGGCTCCAGTCTGGAGTGGAGCAAAGCTCTGGAAGCAAAGCAAGGCTGTGGTGGCACTGGTTCCATCTGACATAGGAGGAAAGGAAAGCATCAGCTCTTGCGGGCTCACTGGACAAGGGGAGCTGTAGACATCAAAGTTTTCTGTGCTTGTTTCCTTTCCCTTTGCCTGCTCTGTCTGTTCAGACAGTGAGACCCTTGGATCAGGGAGTTTTGAGGCTCATATTTATTTGTTTGAACAGGGCTTGGAGCAACCTGCTCTAGTGGAAGGTGTCCCTGCCCATGGCAGGGCATTGGAACTGGATGAGCCCTAAGGTCCCTTCCAACCCAAAGCATTCTATGAAGATCATAGCCAGCAGCATTCCATGATTCTCCTAATCAGTGTGCCATGTAAGCACCTGCTACATCCAGCCATGAAGCCTATTGTGAATTAATTAATAATACAGATTCATTATAAAATACACCGTGTGAAGCATTGAAGTACTACGCACATTAGGGAGCAAATCAGACAGCTGTAGCATAGAATCATGATTTTTACCTGTAAATTCATCCAAAAAGCCTGTCAGTGTGAGTTCTGCAGGGACTGTGTCACAATCTATAGTTGTGATTTCTAAAAAGAAAAGGAAAAGTCATGTACAAACGACAGTGGGACTGTTGCCAGAAGTAGTGCAAGGTAAAAAAAGCTTATGCTTTATATAAAACCAGATGCACACAGTGCAAAGGAAGCTGAAGGACATCCATCATGGTGGCACCTTGACATGATTTCCAGGGTTTAATGCGATACATTACACAGAATAGGTAAACATTAGTGTCTGCAATCCAATCTGTCTTTGCCTGAAGAATTTCTACAATGAAGAACATCACAGCTTAAAAAAAGGATGTGGAAACATCCAGCTGCAGAATTGTCCTTCCTTTGTACCCTGACCAGACAGAAACTTGGAGTTGATTGCCTAACAATAATGAATCACTCTTGGTTGATTTCCTGCTGAACCATCCATGGAAATCATAATCGAAACTACTTTTGCACCCTGGCCTTGCAAATGTTTTCTGCTCCCAAGAGCACTGTAAACAGAAAGCTATTCATCACTGAAATGTGAGCAAGAATCCGAGAGCTAAGGGTAAAGGCACGCTGACAGATTTACCTGAAATGTATTCTCCTTACAGTGTTACAGAAGTTGGCACTTTGGAAATACAGGCTTTTTTCCTGGGAAGTGGCTTTCATACATGGATACGTCAGTGCCCTCTCTCCACATTTCCTCTGTGTGACAAAAAGGGACTTTTTCCCTAGATCTGCAAACTCTAAACGCAGAAATCCAGAAAGCCACCAGATTTTTCCCTCTTTCCCTGACCATAATTACTCAGCAAAGCTGCCATAGTGCAGTCTATGCTCTTATGGATACCTGTGCAACTTCTGTGGTCTCCTGTGGCTTTGCACCAATGCTGAGGCTGTACCCACTCTTGTCCTTGCCCTCCTTACTGTGTATTCAAAGCAGCAGTTGGTAAAATAAGTAGTGGGCTATTTTTGCTTGGCTAGGCAGGTGCCTTCACGTTTGCACCACTCCATAGGATCTCGTTTATAAGTGAGCAGTGGACAGATCTGTACACAAGTGACTGAACAAAACCATAGAGAATACTTTTATAGGCAACAGCTGCTGGTGATGGGTCTAATTCAGTGCATCCATCTTTGAGTGTTCAAAAGCTTACTTTGAAAAGCAGGATTATTAAAAAGATTAATAAAAACGGGGAGTTGGGACTGGTTGGAATGGTATGTCACACTTAAATAAGGGAAATTCAATCATTAAATAAAAACCCTTGTTGCTTTTTTCCCCCAAAGAAAAAATTTCCCTCAGCCGTTTCCTGGTGATCCTCTGAACCTATCACAAGAAAAGGAAAGACACTTGAGCCTTTTTACTGTTATAAAGATCCTCTAGGAAGGCTGAAAGGCCAAACTGATATTAATGCCTCAAGTTTAGGAATGCAGATACCTTTTCTACTCCCAGAATCAGCTAATGGATAGCACAGTTTTCACTTTTGGAAGAAGAACTTTTAATGGAGTTCTTACCACTCCGACAAATACCAGATGTAAAATTGCAACTATTCCAATCTAATTTAGCAGAATAACAGCAGCAAGGAATTCAAGTGATCCCAACTACAAAACTATAAAGCCTCAGACCCAACTTCATCCTAGGTATTGTGTTTAATTTCTGCTGCAGATATAAAACCACCAAACCTGAAACAGTTCAAAGAGAACTTGTAAACCCCACTGTACACACAAGAGCAGTGGTTTTCAGCTTGTGATCAATGAGCCCCTGAAAGTCCACAGCTGACATCCATTGGCACTATATTGCTTGCTTAAATGTTATTTTATCAGTCAACACGTCAACATGCTTCAATCTTCTGTGACTCTGATTTACATAAATTTAATAGATCTAATTCTGTTCAGTTTCAATAAAAACAGGAACAGACTCAAAAGCATCTATAATAATGACACTACTTACGCTGAGCATCAAGACCGATGAACGTAACCCAAGTGATCAAAGCAAAACCCAGAGATACAGAAAGTGCCATGAATACTCCAGAAGAAATATCCTACTGAGAACAGGATGGTCGCTTCTCATATGTAACACTTGTAAAGGATCATTTCATCTGTCATATAAGTCTGTTGTTATCTTGATAAATGCTTCAGTGAGGACAAGGCAAAAGATTGGAATGAGCCTTCAACAGCAAACCACAAACTATATAATGTGCTTATCATTTTCAGCTTGTGGGATCAAAGTCCCTTTGGGGCAATAAAAAGAACCAACAAGGAAATACAACTTTTCATGTTACAGCACAGATAAAGTCTATTTTTAATATTTAACATAATAATAATAAATACATTAGCAGGATGTCCTGACCAATATGAGAGAAACCTATATATTGCCTGGTAAAGAAAACTAAATGGGGTGGCAAAAGGCAAAGGGATCAGCATTGCCCCTTTTGATCTCATAAGGATGCAGAGTATCTTCTCATAACCCTATTTCACAGAAATAAGTACAGAATTCCTGCTGCGAAACCAGCAGATACTATTTGATGGAATTAAAACAAACATCTCTGAAGCGTGCCTAGTATTTAATGGGTTGTATACACTGAAAATAGGTTTAGCAGGCAGTTAAAACAGTTTACTTCCATTAAGTTTCCTCACCAAAACCCAAAAGATACTAAAAGCTTGCAGAGAACTTACAAAGACTACAAATGATACTGCTATCATGCAGCTTGTTTCAATCATTTAGAGGTAAATATACCTTTAATTCAAAGGAGCAACTGATTACACAGTAAGGCAGCTGCTGCCAGACCAAGGTCTTCTCGTGTTTGTGCTAGCATGTTTTGTCACTATGGATACTAAAGTAATTACTACAGCTTGAATGAAAATGCAAACTATAATGAAATTGCCTATAATAACTGAAAATTAATTTTTCATTGGCTTTCCCAGCCTTACGTTATTGAAATGGAAATGTGGGAGCAATTCAAGCTGAAGTGATTAAAAATGTATTAAAAGAAGTTCAATCACGAGCACCAGCTCTTTAGAACAAAGGCCACATCCAGCCAAGATTATGCATCTGGTGGCATTACTACTAGAGGCAATTCAGGCAGTTATCTCCTCCCCCCTTTGATTGTTCCCCATGTCCATAATGGCCAGGCCTTTGTAAGTTTATGTAGCAACATACAGAAGAGAGACCTGTGCACAAAATACCTCCTGGGAAGAGGAAAAGGGAAGATTCCTGATCTGCATCCTGAACAGCATCACATACCTTTGTGCTATCACAGCTATATAAGCTGACATTTGTAGCAAAAAAGTTCTTCTAGGAACTAAGCCTCTTGACCACTGGAAACATTTATGTGCTGGAATCTTAATCCACTAATGAGGATCTACTTTTTGGGTACTCCAAATCTCAAGCAAGGCAGCCTCAACATTTTCTGGGACTTCTTTCAGCTGGAAGTGATAAGAAGTGGCATGAGACCTTAGAGGATAAAACTCCTGAAGATCTCCCGCATTGTCTGAGTTCAGGCAGCCTAGAAGCTGAAGGAGCTAAGCCATTAGTGTAAACAAACCCCAAACCAAATGTAAGTTAAAGATCACCTCCAGGTATAATGAAAACTGCTGCTTGGATGCAACTTAACGCTGTTACCCACTCAAACTTCCATCTTTATAGTCTTTCTTCTGGCTTGGTTATTGCTCTCAGGGATCAGCAGTCCAAACCCAAAGAGAAGCATCACAACAGTCTCAGCCATTGCCACCTGTGTCCCATAACGGAGTCAGGCCCAGAAGAGAGTTCAGATGAGGTTCGTTTGTTTTCTACACTTAGCACATGGGGAAAGAGGAGGATGGAGATATGCATTTAAGGTGAGATGATCTGCAAAACCGAATGAGCTATAGAACAGACAGGAACAAAACCCAGCAAGGCTGGGGTGGTAGAAACAGTGATTTTTGTCAACTGACACTGAACACCATTAAGCAAAATATATCATCCCAGTAGCCAGCTCTATCACCAAGGACAGCATTGCTTGCTGAGCACTCAGGGCACAGCAATGGAAAACATCAGGACACACACTTCTACAAGTGACAGACTCTGTGGGAGTGCAGAGTCCTCCCCAAACTGAGGATGCTGCCCACTTGCAACAGCGCATATCAAATCAGTATTCAAACCCTTGTGATTTCCAGGGTAGAAGAGCTCATGCAGCCCTGTGCAGCTGTCTGTTGCTGTAGCCTCCAGACCAGCTGATGGTTCCATCAACCTTACCACTATGATGCTCAAAGGCAGTATGAGACATTAACCTCAGGGACACAGCCAGTCTGGGCTGTCACTTGGCCTCAAGCCTGGAAAAGCCTTCGGCTGGTTTTATTTATAGCTATAGCCACAAGGGGATTTAACAGTAAATCTATTCCTGTAGCAAGATAAATTTTAAATAAGTGAAGTCTTCTTTACTTCCTAATTAACAAGAAATAGAGAAAAAAGCCCCTCAGAACATAGTGGTACAGTTCATACAGATTAAATTTCACCAAGAACAGCTGCAGGGAATGTCTTCAGTGTGTGTTTATGTATACCGCTCTCTTGGATGTAAGTAGTAACTTAAGGTTTTACATTTGCTTCAAGTGGAGAGGGAAGTGCCTAAATGGAAGCAGGGAACTTCAGGTATGGCTCAAACAAGCATTTGATGCACAGAAGCAGTTTCCCAACACAAAACACTCAATAAGAAGAGAAAGCAATGCTTTTCAAGAAACTGATTCCCTTCTGGCAAAAGGAAGTGTCCTCTCAGTCACATCAAATATGCCTATGCTATTCATAGATTTATGTTTGCAGACTGGGGCAGCTGTATGGTCACATTTCTCCTAATACATTGTCTCTTTCTCTTGGAGCCATTACTGAACTTAAAATTCCAGCTCTTTCTCCAAGATTTCTGGACACCAAGCAAACAGACACAACTCCACCATGCAGCAAGTGACAACAGGATGTACACTGTAGCTTTCCCAGCATACCAACTGCACATAGACAGGATATCCATATAGCAATTTCTAAAAGCAGAATCATGGAAACTAATTCTACTGATAGATTTAACAACTTGTTTAAATGGTATGATCAACACTGTGTCAGTGGAAGGCAAAGTTAAATATGCTTTTAATATGGCTTAGTTTGATATTTTGCATACTTGGGTCATCTGTAGGGCAGCTTGCTCATGAACTTTTAATCCAGCCTCAAAACTGAATGCAGATAAATATTCCTTTGAGGCCTTGTAGATTTGGAGTAGCTCTGCATACAATGGTATCCTGTCCTCAACAGATAAAACACGTGCACTGTGATGCTGCAATTTAATCACAAATACAGATGGTTGAGACCAAAATCTAGAGACCAGTATCTAGAAAAGACTCACACACTTGTTAAATTAACAACATTTATTTTCATTAAACCAAGACAGATGTTCAAAATTAATACAAGAGAAAAACTCGAGGTGGTTGGCAAGGCGGGAAAAGAATGAACATCATGTATGTTACTTTTATATGCTCAAAAATACTTCTGAATAAAACAATACTGGCACATTGAACTGGCACCTTCCCACAGAACAGAGCCAGCAGAGTTGTCCCTTCTCCTCTAGTCAGTAGTTCTAGGAAAACTAAACACACACACATGCAGGCTGTGACTTTCACAGCAAAGTCTACCATGGGAATCTGGAACAACCCTCTATGAGAAGTCACAGAATGTAGCAAAACACTTACCCTACTGCATTTTCATACCTGGTTGATTTTATAATACTTCTTTCAGCTAACAAGTTTTCCAGTGGTTACTGTAAGTGCTTAAAGCTGCATTACTACTTGCAAACAGGCCTGAGGCATTAATAACGCCTTATCTGATACAGATTAAAACACTCCTGCAAAGTTACCACTCTTGTCTGAACTCAAAGCCATTGAAATCCAGTTTTGTCTGTTGAGTTTGCTACACATTGTGGACAAAACACACAATAAACAACATTCATTTGTAATTGTTTCAATAAAACCCTTCTAACTTGAATGCTGTATTTTCAAGTATTGCTATCCTACGTCTTCTAATGCCTACTGAAAATCCTCAAGAAACAAGACAAAAAGAGCCTGAATGGAGAGAAGAGTGCATTTAAACAATGATCTCCCTCTCCTTACCCCATTCCCACCCTCCCACCCAGGATCTTCCTAACTTGATTCCAAACTCACTATTTATTGTACAGCTGTGGCCTGGAATAAGCTTTCCCTGAGCACTCTTTCTACCTGTTTCAAAAAGTCAGAATATGTTTACTTGAATTCAGCCATTATTATTGCCATTATTGCCACTTTGTTTGTTAATATGAAGTATTTCCTAGACAAGTTATTTCATTTTGGTAGCCCTGGATTTTACACCTATACAAACTTGTATTCTATTGCTCCAAATACAGGATTGAAAGTGCATCTGACTTCTAAACAGTACTATTCAGGCAGGTTTCAGAAAGTAACTAGACCCAAAAGATCTACATGCATAAGTGTTCATAATGATACATCTCCATTGAAAGATGCAGAATTAATAGCATATCTGGTTGGAAATTTAGAGACATGGCATCATTAAAAGAGAGAGAACTGCTTCTTATCCTAGATATCAGAAAGAAACAAAACACTGTATTGTGCAAGAGAAATTTGATATGGAGTGGGAATGAGTATTAATTTCACAAGCAAGCAAGCAAGCGCTTCACGTGCAAGATGCAATACTGCATCATCATGGCATTTCTAGAATCTTTGGAGGTCTAGTCTCTACCTGCTACCCACCTTCACACCAATGGGAGTTGCATGAGATGCAGAAGGAAGCCTCAGAACTGCTTTAAGATTTTGTTTAAACTACTCTAAGGTATTGTCACAGACTTTAAATGCAAATCCCCAAAGGGCTGACCTAAAATGTACCACCAAATACTACAGGATATAAATACATTAGGTAACTTGTGTTCGTGCTGCTGACTGCATTCATAATTCAGTAGTCTTGCTTTTTTCCCTTTTCGGTATTTCTAGCATACTAAAAGGCATATTTATGTCTTCC